CATATATTAACTTTGGATTTAGACACTGAAAATGGACCACTTTACATTCTCGAGGTTCTATCTGTGTGGAGTCACATCCATCAGTTAGAAACCTGGTCCTTACTTTATGTCTGAGGGTCCAGGTTCTGCACTGAATAAGTCTGGTAGCTTTACTATGGACCAGTCACTCCTCATAGACGGACAGCTGGATCCTGGAGGTTCTGCCATGAAGTCTGGTGGCTTTACTATGGACCAGTCACTCCTCATAGACAGACAGCTGGATGCTGGAGGTTCTGCGCTGAAGTCTGGTGGCTTTGCTATGGACCTGTCACTCCTCATAGACGGACAGCTGGATCCTGGAAGTTCTGCTCTCTGTCTGCGGTTCTGGCCTCTGAAACACAAACATGTTGTTATTCAGATCACATCAATCAGTGAGAAACTCTGAGATACAAACCAGAGAAGAAGAAGCTCTGAACACAAACTGCTGCAGAGAAGCAGAAGGTGTAAAGTTTCAGACTGAAACATTCAGATGGTTCTGTTGGATCCAACTGAACTTTATCTGAAAAACAGCGTTCTACTGGTCTGGATCACATGGATCAAAGCAACACCTGCAGGACAAGAGGCTCATGTCACAGTTTAATGGAGCTGATGAGATCAGATTTCTAGGAATTATTCAACAAAATACTACTATAGTACCAACTACTAGTACTACAAAGCCCAGAAAGTTCTGGACACTGACCCATTGATCACATCTAGTCTGAGAAGGTGGAGAGCAGAGGTTCTGGTCTCCCTGATATCAGAACCAAAGCTGTTCATCTTGTCTGAGGAGCTGATGTGGCCGAAATTAAAGAACAGAACACAGGACCGGCCTCTGAACCAGAACCTTAGAACTAGAGGGACGACCCAAGTCCTGTTGTTCTGCTTTTCCCTTTTAACCAACTGGCTGGGTCATCATCCTATTGAATCAACTGTTCCCAGTATAAACGCTGGGTCCAGTGTTCCCAGTCCAGAACCTCCTGTGGTCCAGAAGCTTTAGAGAGCATCTCTAAAGCTAGTTGCTCCTCAGATTCTTGGTTGGTTCTGTTTTACTTCATCATTGAATCTCAGGCCTTCATTCAAACGCTACTGATTTACTGATTGACACAGGGGTTGACGTTAAGGATTTTTACCACTTGCCCTTTCACATTTAATTTGCCCAGAAACAATTTTTATTTGCCCAGTATAATGTTTGATAAATATAGTTCCTAATATTCATTTTTGTATATATATCAATGAAACATACGGTATTTGTTTTTTAAATGTTTTTTGTAATTCAGTATTTTTTAAGTTTCCAGGTTCCTGGTGTGTATCTGCATGTGTCAGATAATGAACTCAAGCCTACATTACTGTGTTAACATGCTTTTCAATCCTTCCTGAACATTTTTTTTTTTTCAAATTAAACTTAGCTTTAAACTGTTGTGTGCTTGGAAAAATATAAATTGTAATGTTAAAAAAAAAAAAGTTGACAGGTTAAAAATGTAAGATAATCACAAGACAGAAGTCAATGTCACGGTATGTTTATACAAGATAATACTATTAACATAATGTGACTTTTCTAGAGAATCATTATACATAGTTATTTTATACAAGGTTTCCACAGTCTGACATCATTTCAGAATTCCCTGACTTTTAACTGACTCAGGATCAGTTTTCCCTGACAAAATAAATGCAGCCGTTTGTCGTTTTGGTAACTACATCAAAATTACCACTAGGTGGACAAAAATCACGCCATCTGGCGGGAAATCACCCGGCTTTTTCAAATCAGGTGCCTTTTTCAAATCACACATGAATGTATACAAAACAACAAAAATGCCACCGGCAACGCTTCTGGGTTGTTTTCGTCGAATGTCAGAGATTTTAAAGTAACTGGGTGATAATTTTTTTTTTTTTTTCGAGCAAATGCAATGAAATTTGTGGGCAAATGCAATGAAATTTGTACTCTCCCAACAATAAAAACTACCCTAACCGGAAAATTGGGTGATGGTTAACATCGAGCCCTGTGACATCCTTCATGTTTAGATCCTTCCGATCTGTCTGATTAGGATCAAGAGGTTCTATCTCTATGGAGTCACATGGATCAGTTAGAAACTGGTTCCTTACTTTATGTCTGAGGGTTCAGGTTCTGCTCTGAAGTTTGGTTGGTCTCCTATGGATCCATCACTCCTCATAGCCAGACAGCTGGATCCTGGAGGTTCTGCTCTGTGCTCCTTTTGATCCAGATCTTCCATCTTCTGGACTTCAGTCAGTCTGAGAGAGAAACCAAAACCAGTCAGTTCCCAGTGGTTTAGGTCCAGTTAGTGACCTGTAAAGCAGAAAGCTGATTCCCATTATATGTGCAGAGGACCAGAGAAACCTGATTACAGGAGTAACCATGTGGGTCTGAATATATTGAAATGGAGCCCTATCATATGGTCTAATAGTGTGACTTTAGAATATGTTGAAGTTATTAAAGGAAAATGCTGTTGTTGTTTTTTTACATTAGGCCCTTGATTTTACCTTATTCCATCATGTTCTACTCAACCTTATGAGTTTTGTGTCATTTGGAGCCGTTCTGAAGATATTATATCCAGTAACGTCTTCCTATGGGCAACGACTTGAAGGCACAAACTAAACTGTTCATAATTTATTCTCTATGGTATGCCAGCATTCATAACATGTAGGCAAATCACTGCCCCCCAGACATCCGTGGTTATATTTTTTATATTTATATATTTTAAAAACAAAGCGGAGTGTGTATGACGTGAACTAAACGTTCACTGTGGACCTCTCTCTGACCCCTCTGGTTGCTGCCTGAATGTCACAGCCGCGGCTCAAACCAACAGCCCCTCCGATTGCAGTGCAAACTTTTGCACCTGAGGCAATTGTCTCCCCAGGTTAAGCTTTGCTTTGTAGCGAATGAGGCTGTTTGTTTCTTTTCTTCGTTTATTTTATTATAATGTTTTGTTTTACTTTCATTGATTTCAAATGTGGGACATCAGTGATAGAAGTGAAAAAACTCAACACATTGGGAGCTTCTCTATAGTGAATGTAGTCAGTGTGAAATGGAAAAAATGGGATCAGAGATTCAGAAGCCAGGCACAGGTTGTGATTTTCAGAGGTTTATAATGTTTAAACATGATTATATCAGTTAGTGACAGCTGACTGACCTTAGATCTTTTGGTCCAGGATCATAACTGAAGCCTTTAGGAGGAGGTTTGGAATGGTCACTATTTTTAGAAACGCCACTGGAGGCAGGAGACACTGCTCTGTTCTCCTCTCTCTTTCCCTTATCTGTCTTCTTTTTTCCTATGCTTGATCCCATCTGAAAAAAGACAGAAACACTAAGATAACAGGTTAAGCATCAGTCCCAGTTTTTCTAGTCAGCTGCTCTCTGATCTTTTCTGTACAGCAATGTTGGTAAGATGGAGCTGGAATATCCATAACACGCAGGTATCAGATGGAAACTATCAAGGTCAACCAACACCTACATCTCAGACTCACACTTGTATGCACTGCTGCTGATTTCATCAAAAGCCACGCTTCCTCAGGAGAGGATTCAGCGAAGTCCAAGAAAGGAAAAAAATTGACCGAATCTAAACTTCAAGAGTAATAATAATAATACATTTTATTTAACAGTGCCTTTCTGGACACTCAAGGTCACTTTACAGAGAATAAAATGAAAATAAAAAAATACAAAATAAAAACAATCATGGATAGGGACAAGAGCAGTGTATTTACAGATAAGCCAGCTGGAACAGATGGGTTTTGAGTCTGGCTTTGAATAAGGGGAGAGAGTCAATACTGCGGAGGTCGAGAGGAAGTGAGTTCCAGAGCTGGGGAGCAGAGTGTCTGAAGGCTCTGCTCCCCATGGTGACAAGTCGAGCTGGGGGTAAAGTGAGGTGGATGGAGGATCTAAGGGAGCGGGAAGACGTGGCAATGTGAAGGAGGTCTGACAGATATGGAGGAGCAAGGTTATGGATGGCTTTGAAAGTATAGAGAAGGATTTAAAATTATGTTCTGAATTGAACTGGGAGCCAATGGAGTTGGTGAAGGACAGGGGAAATATGATGGAAGGAGGGGGTTCTTGTGATGACACGAGCAGCTGAGTTCTGAAGAAGTTGACATTTATGGAGAAATTTATGGGGGAGGCCGAAAAGAAGAGAATTACAATAATCAAGACGGGAGATGATGAGGCTGTGGATAAGGACAGAGGCAGTATGAGTGGTGAGGGAGGAACGGAGACGGTTAATGTTGCGCAGGTGGAAGTATGCAGACTGGGTAATTTTATTTATGTGTGACTGAAAGGAGCGGGGGGAGTTGGGGATGACACCCAGACTCTTGACCTGAGGGGAGGGGGAGACTAAGGAGTTATCAATGGGTAGTGAGAAACTTTTGATTTTGGATAGGGTGGATTTAGTGGCAACGAGGAGGAGTTCTGTTTTATCACTGTTTAGTTTAAGGAAGTTTGAGGTGAACCAGTCTTTAATTTCAAGGAGGCAGTTAGTAAGGGACAAGGGGGGGAGTAAGGAAGTGGGTTTACTGGATAAAGAAAGCTGGGTGTCATCCGCATAACAGTGAAAATGAATGTCGAATTTGCGAAAAATACTGCCAAGGGGAAGGAGGTAGGTGATGTAGAGGAGGGGGCCAAGAACTGAGCCTTGAGGGACACCAATAGGGAAGGGTGTGATGTGAAAGATTTGAGTTGAATAAACTGAGTGCGGTCAGAGAGATATGAGTGGAACCAATCAAGAGGGGTTTGAGAGATACCAAGAGAGGATAATCTATTGAGGAGAATGGGATGAGAAATGGTATCAAAGGCTGCACTGAGATCAAGAAGGATGAGGATGGAGAGGAGTCCGAAGTCAGCAGTTATAAGGAGATTGTTTGTGATTTTTATTACGGCGGTTTTAAAACTATAGGAGGGACGAAAACCAGACTGGAAAGGCTCGTAAAGACTGTTGAGGGTAAGAAAGGTGTGGAGTTGAGCAGACATTACCTAACCCTAACCCAGACAATTTTTTTTTTGAGTAGTTTAGAAATAAAGGGAAGATTTGAAATGGGACGAAGATTATTAAAGTTAGTGGGATCAGAACCTGTTTTTTTTTTTAAGAATCAGGAGACAGATGCAGTTTTGAAAAGTTAGGGAATTAAGGGGAGCTAGGGAGGTAAGACGGGTTTTGACCAGAGCTGTGGGGAGGGGGACAAGAGAACAGGTAGAGGACTTGGAATTTCGAATGAGGTCAGAAATTTCAGAAGAAGTGGGAAGTAGGAAAGAAGAGAATGACTGGCAACGGGGGAGGGGCAGAGGGGAAGGGGGAGGCAAGGCGGTCATATGTAACTGCTGGTGAATGGAGCTGAATTTTTTTTTATTAAAAAAGGTTATCAAAGAATTACAGGTCTGACTAGAATACATGTAAGAAGGCAGGGTATCAGGGGGGTCAAAATCTTGTGCATTATGGAAAAGAGAGACTTGGAGTTTCCATCATTGGAGCAGATAAGGTCAGAATAGTAGTTCAATTTAGTAATGGCTATTAAGTTTTAATAGTGAAGTAGATTAGTTTTTTGTATTTCTTTGTGTATGGAGAGACCCGTTGTTTTGTGGAGGCGTTCAAGTTGCCGACCTTTGGTTTTCAAGAGGCGGAGCTCAGTAGTAAACCAAGGGGCAGAGCGGAAAAAGGATACAGACCGGGTTTTGAGAGGGGCAAGGGAATTGAGAATATTGGAAAGTCCAGAGTTGTAGTGGGTGACAAGGTGGTCCGGAGAGAAAAGAGCAGGGATTGGAATATTGTCAATGTCAATGTCAATGTGGGAGGATAAAATGTCTGTGTTTATGTTCTTAATATTGTGGAAAGAAATCTGGCGGACAGGCTTGATTATGGAGAGAGACAGGGAAACGTTGAAGGACAGAGGAAAGTGATCAGAAATATAAACATCATCAGCAGAACAATTAGAGGGATTAAACCAGAGCAGAAAATCAAATCCAGCAAATGTCCTTTTATGTGGGTGGGGAAATCAATATACTGATGAAATCCAGAACTGTCCAGGCAGGAGGTAAAGTCTCTGGTGAGTGAAAGGTTTACATTGTCCATATGAATATTGAAATCACCTAAGAGAATGAAAATAGGAGAAACAGTAGTCAGGTGGGTAAGTAGTATGAATAATTCATTTAAAAAGTCACTGTGTGGTTTGGGGGATGATAGACTATGGAAATAAATATCGGAGTAGGACCAGGCAGTTCAAATGCAAAGCATTCCATAGAGCGGAAAACTGGAGTGGAAACTGGCAACAACTTCCACTTCTCGTGATGAAGTAAGGCCAGACCTCCCCCGCTGCCGGAACCACGAGGAAGAGAGAAGTAAACCAACCCAGGTGGAGTGGAGGCGTTGAGCTGGGAGAAGTCATTAGGTTGTTGCCAGGTCTCCGTAAGACAGAGGAAGTCCAGCTTAGATCCTGGATGAGCTGACCCTTGTTTGTGAGAGAGCGGACATTCAGGAGACAAAAGTTGACAGTTGAGTTGTTATGACCGGAGGCGGGGCTTGCTGCCTTAGCCAGCCTAGCAAGCAACTGAAATCAGCAGTCCGACTGGAATAGCGGCGAGAGCAGAGAGAAGTTGACCAGAATGATCGTATTTGATTGGAGTCATCGAACGAGATCCACGCTGGATGTATCTGTGGCAGGGAGGGAGCATGATCTCCAGGTGTGGCTGGAGAACTGGCGGTGGAGGCGCAGACAGAAGCCCACGGGGCAGGAGGAGATCAGCTGCCGAATACTGGGACAAACCTGCCCCAGGTCGATGTAGAGTGGAGAGCACAGTCCAGAGGAGGATTTACCAGATGCAAAACTTGGAGGTCGACATTGTTAATGGCAGCGGGTGGCTAACCAACAGCAGCAATGGCGTTGAGTTAGAAGAACAGGTGGAGAATGAGGTTAGTTAACCACAGTCAGACAAAAAACAATGGGATGGCAGCCGAAGTCAGGACGATCAAAGCGAAGGTAAGTGCTTTTGCTCTCACCTCAATGTGAGTACATGGCCCAATGTTTCGTAAACATGTTAAAAATAACTTAAAAAAGGTAGCAGAGAGCAGCGGATGCAAAAAGCGCCAGCGTCCCCTCAGCCGAGCATGCATGAAGATTATTTTTTTTAAATGGATTCACTTCTACTTCTGCAGACCCGCTGCAGCCCCAGTGCTTCTTCTGTGGAGAAATCCTGGCAAATAGCTCAATAAAGCCAGCCAATTTACAGCGGCAACAGAACACCAAACATACAGGAAACATTCGTAAAACTGAG